AGGGATTATTTTGGCTCTTCTGTGAGGGCTTAATAACGCTTTAGCTATTGATTTCCCCCAAATCAAGTTCATGTTCAGAAACCACCTTTAGTTGCTTAATATGCTTAAGTTACAAAACAAATGAGAAGAATCCCTTCTGCGGAGAATTGTGCGAAACAAAGCTGGAATGAAAGCCCGGCCGTCCTCGATTTCACAACACTCTGAAAAGACTCAGTATGTCAGGGTGGTGGTGTGCATCACCTAGGAGGCCGTGGTTGGTTTCGTAGTTTCGATTGTGACTTTGCTGGCAGAAAACGATCACCTGGCTCTTCCAGCCTTGGCAGTGGGACGAAATCCGCTGCAAAGTCTCAACATTTGGTACCTGCCTCAAACAATAAAACTGTCGAAATGGTTTCTGTTGCTGTGTGTTTTATTATTCTTCTGGTAGTCAAATGTTAAAAGTTTCTCTTAATGGGTAGAAACTGGAGACTCTTTAGTAAATACCACCAAAAACACCTGCACTTCATGTTCACTAATGACTGTTTGCTCTATTCAGAGCTCAAATTAAGAGGATGTTGAGAGAGGATGGATGTTATCTCTCTACTTGTTAAATATATTCAGGTAATTTATGTAAAACACAGAAATTAAAGAAATCACCCCCTTGCTACATTTTTATCATTCCACCTAAAAAAATCTGCCCACAGACTTTGTAAAGAGAGGGCTGAAAACAAAATTTCACTATCCAAAATATGTCAAAACTTAATACACTAAGAGAAGGTTTTAAGATTGTCTTGAATTCCTACATAAGGCTGACTAAACGGTTGCTTTTCCTCTAAACCACCATTTCTTAAGTCATTGCAGAAAATATCTGGTTGAAGGCCCGTGTGATATAATTAATGTTGCTGAAATATTTGGCTAAGACCGTGGCTTGCCTGGTTGGATCCCAACTCTGTGGCCTTGAATAAATTACCTAACCTCTCTGTGCCAGTTCCTTCATTTGTAAAATGAAGATAAGGATCGTGCGAACCTCAGAGGATTATTCCGAGGATCAAAAGAGTCTGTGTTTGCACAACACTTTGAACACTGCCTGGCACATAAAAGCACTAAATAAGTATCTGGGATAATTGTTACTGAAAACAGAGGAATTTTGAACTAAGGACTCTTCAAAGTGGTATGAACTCAGCATTATGTAAGCAACTCTGCCCACTTAGTATGAGCAACTGTGACCCATCTATTTCTTTTTTTTTTTTTTAAAGACTTTATTTATTTATTTGAGAGGGAGAGAGAGCACAAGCAAGGGGAGCAGCAGAGGGAGAGGGAGAAGCAGGCTCCCCGCGGAGCAGGGAGCCCGATGCGGGGCTCGATCCTGGGATCATGACCTGAGCTGAAGGCAGACGCTTAACAGACTGAGCCACCCAGGCTCCCCCATCTATTTGTTAATGAAGAATAAGCAAATTAGGGATCCAAACTGCAGAGCGGGTTCCTCTTCATAGTTTGAATGGAGTTCTGAATTTCAGTTTTAGTAAGTAAGTATCATGAATTTGTGGGCTTGGGGTCCCTACATCTGCTCAAATGTTTCATGGTTGCCCATATCCCAGGAAAATGAATTTCACTCTCCCTTATCCTGGGCTCTCCACCAACGGTCCCTAGGAGTCTTTCCACCATTATCTACCACTACTCCCCTGCCTGACAATGTCTGCTTTAATCACTGTTTCAAATATATCACATATTTGCCTGTATTCCTCTGAATTAGAAGGCTCTTAATTGACCTTTCTACTCGCCAAGGGCCCTCCTTCATAAAGGACTGGCTCAGACTCCATCTCTTCTCTGAGCCTCTCCCAGACATATTGCTTCTGAGTGGCGTGTCTCTTCAATGAATTCTCAGTCTCCAAGTCCTTTTTTATACATACCATAAGCTCTCTTTTCCTTTTATATCTTATGTCAGTATCCCTAACTACATTGAAATCTCTTGTGTGCAGCCTGACTCAGTGCCTCATGCAGAGCAGGAATTAAGTATGTTTTTATTAATGCAAATCTTTGGAAGTAAAATTCAGGTTTATGTTTAGCTCCTCTCCATCTCCTTTTGGCGATTTCTTACCCTGTTCAACACGTTTTTCACTAGTGCCACATACCTATATGGTATATTAGCGACTTAAGGTCCTGGAGAAAGCTATCTTTTCCAATGTTTTAGACATCTTTATTTCATCTACACTTACTTGTGGTGTTAGTGAAAAGAATACTGGTCTCAGAGTCAGAAAATTTGGGTTTCATTTCTCTATGTTTGTTGGTCCCTATATGTGACTGTGGAAAATAACCACTGGTTTGAAACTCAGTTTCTTTATCCATAAAATACAAATATTAGCTATCCTGACTATCATACAGGGTTATTGTGAAGATAAATAGATAGAAATGAATGTACACAAATGATTGTACTTGTGGTTGATCTGATTTCCTCAAGATACATCAAGATTCTTGTGTTGTTGATCTAATAAAGAAAGTATACCATAGGGTAACTTAATGTATTACCTATTTTTGTTGATGTTTATTTTAGCAAGAACTTCTGAGAACATAAAATCTCAATTCATAAGAATGACACTAAAGATATGAGAAAAAGTATTTGGGGACAGAGAGTTCCAATAATAATAATTGAATTCAACAAATATTTGTTGAATGTTTATTATGTGCAAAAGAGCATCCTGGGTGCTATGGGAAGTCTAAAGATAAACAGGACACTCATTCGACAGTCTTCAAGGAATGAATCTAGTGGGAGACTGGTATGTACCCAATTAATTCTAATACGAGGTAGGTTTGGTAAAATCTAGGTTTGGTAAAACCAACTTCAGAAGACAAGAGATTAATTCTGACTATACCTGGAAGGTTTTTTTAGAGGTTATGCATTCAACTAGGATTTAAAGGTGGGAGAATATCAGTAAGCGAGGTTGAAGAGGAGTTAAAAAGAAAAAAAAAAAGGTAAGAATAATAGCATGAGCCAAGAAACAAAATACAGAAAATCTTCTAAGAGTAGTAAAAAGAATGTATCTTAATTCCTTGACCTTGTAGAGTGTTTTACATTTCTCAAAGTGCTTTCAAGTATGTTATGTTATTTGGGAATTAGAACAATCATGTGGAGGTTAACAGGAAAAATGTATTTGATTTTGCATATGAAGACAGGGAGTTTTATAAAGTCTTCATGCTTAAGAAGATGACTCTGATAAGAGTGTGAAAGGCTAAAGGCAGTTAGGAGGTCTCTGACACAGTATGAGGAGACCACCAAGAGTCTGCTCCCAGGTAGATTTGCTTGCAATGGTGAGGCAGCTCCGTATAGGCACCGCAGATGCATGATGCATGTGATTTTACTCATAATTGGATGCAAGGAAGAATAACAAAGAGAAGTATCAAAAGACTCAAAGGCAAGTCACGTATAAACAAAATCTGGCTTGGCTCTTCAGGGCACATGAAGTCTCTTAGTATCTTCAGTATTACTCTCCAACTCTTACTGAGCTCTCGGAGGAATGGTAAACCTAATTCTAACTAAAGATCAATATTTGATCCAAACGGGCACACTGTGCAACCTGAAGAGAAATGAGAAGTCCATGATGAATCATTCAGATTAATGAAGATGGTGATGGTTTTAAAATACTGTCACCAATTATTTAATACTCTCCCCTTCAAGAGATAAAGATTCATTCCCCACCTCTACCCCCTATGGGCTCCACTGATTGACTGGATTCTAACGAAGCAGCGAAGGTATGGATGTGTCACCTCAGAGACTAGGTAATAAAGATCATTACAGCTTTCTCCTTGCCTTCTTAGATCATACCTCCCGGGGAACTCAGCTGCCATGTCGGGAGAAGATTCACAGGATGAGACACCAAGACCTCCTGTCAACAGCTGTGCAAGTGAGATGGATCTTCCGGCTAAAATCAAGCCTTTATATGACTGCAGCCTTGGCCAACATCTTCACGGCAACTGCTTGAGAAACGCTGACGCAGAACCACCCAGCCAGACCACTGCCACATTTCTGACCTGCAGGAACTCTGAAATAAAGAATGGGATAATTTACCAGGTAGCAATAAATAATTAATGCAAAGGTAGAAGCAAATAAGTTATATAGCACTTTCCTCCATCAAAGGGCAGAGATTATGACTGAATTTGGGTTGTAATGAGCAGAAGGATTCTTTCTCGATTATTTAGTAATTGACCTGGAAGAGTAAACAACAATTAAACAAGGGAGTAAGGTACAAAGAATCCTGAACGTGATCCAGCTAACCTGATCACTAATCTCTCCCCACAAAGAGAAAGATTTAATGCTTCTTAAATGTTTGAATTCAAGGCTCTAGTACATATATATATATATATATTCTTGTGGTTTAACTACACCACAGTGATGGGCTGATTAAATCACAAATTAACATTCTGTTTTAATGTGCTATATTTTAATTTTCAAAAAAGATTAGTTTTTTTATTATTTACAAAAGTGTATGGAGTCATAGCTTCATATATTTATATATAAGCTGCTTGTTCTAAAAACCCTTTTCTGAGTCCTTCTCCACCTCACCCACATCTGAATAGGGCATACCAAAACAAAAGCCTACCAAGACTGAGACGACCTTGAATTTTAGGGCAGAATAAGAGGACAAGATCACAAAATGGAAGTGTACTGAATAGTTCAAGGGCAAGAGCAAAACCTCAAAACAAAAAGGTTGGAGTTCCTGAGGTCCCAACTGCTTGGGCTCTTACAGTTGAGCGGGTTGGGTGGGCTCCACGCACTGTGGGCGGGTTGGGGCGGGGCCAGGCGGACCTCAACGGGCGGGGCTGGGGCGGGGTCAGGCGGACCAGAGCGGGGGCCCGGGGCGGGGCCAGTCGGGCCTCAGTGGGCGGGGCCCGGAGGCCTAGGCGGTGCAGGAAGCGCGGGAGATTTGAATTTCCTCTCCGCGCAAGTACCGGCGTAGGGGTTAAGCTGCACAGCGACTTTCTCCGCGGGGGCCTGCAACTAGTGAACCACAGTTCGGGGAGGGGAAATGGTGGAAGGACCAGGTTGTACTCTAAATGGAGAGAAAATTCGGACGCGAGTGCGCCCCGGCCAGGCGGTGACGGACGTGCGGGGAAGCGCCCTGCAGAGCTTGGGAGGCCAGGTCTTGCCTCACGCAGCCTCGCTGGCTGTGGTATCTTCCCAGGTGAGCCATTAATATTATTTGCTCTGGGGTCAGCAGGGGACAGTCGAATAAAGACGCCGTCAGGTTTCCAGGGCCCAAAGTGTCATCTCTTTGCTCTGGAACAGGCTCCCTGGGGCTCCGCGGTTCCCTAACTTTAACTTGACTTTGCAAGAGGGACAAGTCAGTGCTCACGCGCCTGTGTAGTTAGAGACTACCTGACAGCCGAGCGAAGGCTGCCAGAGAGAGATGCCCAGGCAAGAACTGACCGAAGGTGTTTTATTACTAATCACCTTGCTTAACTTGGTATAACCCAGCAAAAGATGTTCTCCTTGTGTCTGTAAGTGCATTTTCTGCTGTTAATATCATCAGACCTCTCCATTTTTTTCCTGCACATTTTTAAGACAGTAAGCTTTTAGCATGACTACTATTCTGCGGTTGATAAGTGTAGCAGAACTAACATATAATTCTAAAATTGCACACAGAAAATTTAGCAGTGACCTTCCCACTCAATGTTGCCAGTCTAATGAAGAGGCTGTGGAACCCAGCTCTCGTTCCCTTAAGTGAATTTCTTTCTTCTTAAAATAAATTGTAGCACAGCTTCTGGCCACTCAAGGCATTCATTGCAGATGGTGGAATATTCATTTGTTAAGAATTTAGAACTTGTACTAAAAATATTCTGATTAAGCCATCATGCCTTAAAAGCCCTTTAGATGTGTGGATGATTGTATTTCATGGATGCGTGCAATATTGTGCTGTACTTAATTTCTCCTGCAAAACTCCCTCCTAGCCTTTGGTCCAGGAAGAAAAAGTGGCTTGCTATGAAATTAGCATACGCTTACAACTTGAAAGAAATGAGGCTCTAAGGCAGAGAAATTAATATTTTTCAAACTTGGAAGAGAATAAGTTTTGCATCTTCTTCCAACAGTCCTCGTATTTTATTTATTTTGACTTAATACGAGAAGTGCCCTGCACCTATTCTTTTAGTGTAGTGTTTCTCAAAATCAGGTCAGGGTACCACAGGGCTGGATCTTGAGTGTTCTCCTAGAATATTAATGTTTATAAAAATCACGCATTCCACAAAATTTTGAATATTCAAGTCACCTGCGGAGCAAAAACAAACGGTTCCCTTGTGGAGCCTACACTTGAGTTGGGAAGGTACACGGGCAATCATTAAGAACATAAATATAAATTGATAAATTCTCTGAAGCCTCTCCTACCTGGTTCTGTAAGGACTCGGGAAGGTCAGGAGAGGCTTGGCTGACAATTAAACTGAGGTATGAAGGGGGAGGAAGGAATAAGCAACACCTGGGTGGGAGGTTGGGCGGCAGAACACGTTAGGCAGAGCATTAGCAAAGGAAGAGAGCTTCAAATATTTGAAGGATTGAAAGAAAATCAGTGTGACTGGAAAACAGAAAATGAGCTAGAAGGTAGGTCTTTTGAGGTTGCTGGGCAGGAGCCAGACCATGGAGATCGTAGACCTGGTTAGGGACTTCGTATTTATCTTAGGAGTAATGGGAGTCTTCAAAGTGTGGTAAGATCCACTCACACTTTGGAAAGATGACTCTATCTTGAAAAGGAAAAAGAAAAGACTGGAGGAAAGTAGATACTGCACCCTCACTTAGGAGAGGGCTGCAGGAATCCGGGGGGGGGGAGGGCTGGTGGTGGAGGTGAAGAGGGGACAGAGTTGCTATTTCCCAAATAAAGGCAGTAGGGCTCAGAAATGGATATGATATGAATATGTGTATGGGTATCATGATTTACATCATTCAACGGTCATGTATTTTGTGTTATGTTTTATGTTAGCTCCTGGGGATGCAGAGATGAATAAGATAAACTTCCTGCTGTGAGAATCCAACTTAATGTTTTGAATTAATATCACCTCATGGGTATTTAGGCCAAACTAGCAGGAACGTTTCCTCTAAGTTTGTTGTGATTATCTCTGGTGGCAAAGCATAAAGTGCCTTTGAAGAACCTTTACATTTTATGTAGTTAGGAGAAATAATAACCCCGTGATTCTACAGTTGAGGAATGAGAGGTTCAGAGTGAGTTTAATTAAGTTGCCCAAGATCACATGACTAGTAAGGGGTTGAACCAGGGGTGAAGGGGGGGGAGGTTTCCCTCTTTCAGAATCCAAAGCCTATTCTCTTAATTGTAGTTTTTCTCAGATATAAAAGATTCAGTGGGAAAGTGGCTAATTCAGAGGCAGAAACACCATATTGCCAATATATAGTAGTGATTATTAACTAGGGAAGTGAGACCTTGGGTTTTTGGTTATATCCACCCACCGTTGTAGTTTTGTTCCATTATCAATTTACCTAAGCTGAGAATTCTCTTTTAAGGACTTTCAATCCTCTGTTCAGATTGCACAAGATAGTGCAACCTGGTAATAGAACACAAACGCTTCATTAATTGTTGGGCAATTGTTAACATCTCTCTTGGAAGTAGTACTAAGTAAGCTATACCCCTTAAATAAAAAGGCCTGCACTTAAAGCTGTTCTGTTTAATACCTTGACATAAAGAGGTATTAAAAATTGGAATATGGGGTGCCTGGGTGGCTCGGTTGGTTGAGCGACTGCCTTCGGCTCAGGTCATGATCCTGGAGTCCCGGGATCGAGTCCCGCATCGGGCTCCCTGCTCAGCAGTGAGTCTGCTTCTCCCTTGGACCCCTCCCCCTTCTCATTCTCTCTATCTCATTCTCTCTCTCAAATAAATAAAATCTTTAAAAAAAAAAATTGGAATATGTCTTGATGACTGGGATCAGGAATCTGGTTTTATGGGAACTGGATTTGAAAATCAGTATGGAATTCATAGCAATCTCTTTGTGGTTATTGGGAAAATTGTAAATATTTTGCCATGGTTTCGCTTGCTCGGCCTTTGATCAAATAATAATAACAATAATAATAATCTTTGTAAACAGGGTCTTTTGCATTTTAGAGGGTTGCTGGATCTATAGTAAATTTCATCAGCATGTGGTAGGTTGTCACTGATCTCCAGCATGGTCATTACTGTAACGGATGAGCCCGCGTTTCCCGGGCATTTACGGCAGGGAGTTAAAGCTGTTTAAATGTTTCTGCTACTGGCTTGAAATCACTAGTTTTCACAAGGCAGAGTTTAAAAATAAACTGTTGTTTAAAAATAAGTTGTTAACTTATTTTTAAATTTCTTTACATTGCACTAAACATGAAAAAATACAAAGAGTTAAGCCTTTAAAATAATGCAGGTAATCAGTGTACTGAAAAACCAACCAGAAAACCCCCCACCTGTGTAGCTGCTGCCATTAATGAACCAGTTAGTGTATGGGATAGCATTCCTTGCTTTTTGCTTCAGTTTAGAGTTCAGAGAGAACACACCTTAATGTGTGTCTCCTTGTGACAACTGATCCTCGTTTTGAAGAAGCCTACCCGTACAAGATCTCAGCATCTGCTAGTCGTGTATACATTATATTATTTCTCTGAATTTTGATCCACTGTCTTGTCAGCATAAAATTATGCCACTGTGTAAGCACATTGCATAAAACTCTGCTGAAGTTTGTGGAACGCTATGGTAAGAAATAATATTGGAATATCGATGGATGATCGTTTCTGGTTGATGAGCTGCTAAGAGTCAATCCGATTTTAATTGTCGGGTAGATACAATGTTTTAGTGAAATTGGTGTGTAATCTGCATATGTTTTCAATGTCCTTTTCACCAATCTGGATATGAAACAGTTTATTTATAAGCATTCTTTTCATTTGAAACATGATGCCCTGGCTCTTCTATCCTTCCTTAAGATTTGATACATGTATTCAATATGATAGCGACTCTTACTCATCTTTATATGTCCTTCACAGTGTCGTGAAGAGAGTAGGCATTTAATAAACACTTTAAATGGAGGGAGAACAGAAAAGTTTGAATAGCCCAAAATGATTAAGGATTTAAAACTAAATTCAGTCTGGACTCTTGCGTTATGGGTATGTGTATTTTGTTATGTATGTTATGTGGAAATTCCTACCATGAGAAAATAATGAAGCCACAAAGTAAAAGATTTCCTCCCTTCTTCCTCTTGTTCATAGTGGGGAAAAAAGAAATCATAGCTCATTTTAGTGCCATTGTATGCAGGGATGAACTAATCCACAGAGATTCATTTTCTACCTAAAGGAAGCTTATTCCTTTCAATACAAAGGGGTTTTAAAATTTCATAGAACATGCAATATGATACTGACCTGGCAGGGGAGATACCGTGATCAAGAACATGCATTATATAATCCTTTACCTTTTTAAATGCATACGGAGAATGGTTTTACCTTAATGACTGAGGATCATTATTATCAGCTTTCAGCCTTATATGGAATCATGGAACAAAGAATAACGGAGAACAGGTAACAATCTTACAGATGAGAAGACTAAGGAAGGTGATTTTTCGTGGCCATTGTAGCTTTTAATCTGACACTGAAGTATTTGGTTTGATGTAGAGAAGAGAACATTTGACCATCTTGATTTTGAATTCCAGCTCTTTTGTTACTTCCTCCTATAGAGATGCATACACTCACATCTTTGCAGATTTGGTCAGGATTAGATTAGAGGATGCATGAAACTCTTAGCTTAGTGTCTAGCAAAGTAAATGTCCTGGTAATTGTTTGCTACTTTTTCTCCCAGATCGGGCTTTCTTGCCAGACCCATACATTGGAGTAACGCTCTTTTCCTTAATGAAGGGTTTGCAATCATCTGGTGCCCTCAAATTATGTACAAAGCATTTAGCCTCTGGGTAAATGCTTGAAGGCTCTGCTCTTAAAAAGACTGTAGAATATGTTTTGATGTATGAACCTAAAGACCTCTCTTTTGGTGCTTAGAGATCATTTTAAAATTAAGTTCTTTGATGGTTTAAATTGGTAGGTAAGGGACCTCTGATTAAGAAAAGTGTTGTAATAGGGGAGAAAAAGGCATGTGGCAAAAAAAAAAAAAAAAGAGAGAGAGACTATGAAAGTAAATATGGTATTTTCTCTGTGGGGAAAATATATAGTTACACTAGAGTTGGAACATTT